CCATTTCAATAGAGCTACTGTTCTCATGAACTTAAAATTGACTCTCGTTTCTATTCGGTAGTTCACATAGACTAAACCTGTTGTCTAGACAGCACAGGTTTAATTTAAAATATAATGTGAAAGCTGATCATTCATTTTATTTCAAGACCTTTTATTATTGTTTTTCTATGTTTTTGTTTTCTTTTTGTAACCAGACATCCTGGTATGTACCATTGAATTGCCTTTCTTTTGCGTAAGCAGACTTTTATCATGAAGGATACACACAAATTGCTTTTAAATGCAATGCAAACCAGATGCTGGGAAACTGAAGAAAAATGCAGCTGGAGTCCATGTAATGCTAAACGTATAAATTGGATAGTGATGTCAGAGCATGTGCGGCACATGAGTCACATTGCCTGTGCATGGGGATCCTTCCGGTTAGTGAACATCTTAACAAAGGGCTCAGATGCTTACAACCTATTCTGTAAGTGTACTCTGTGTTGTAACCAAAGCTGAAAAGAACAGTCATTAATGCTACAGCCATATCACCCTGCAACTCACAACTGGCAACCCACTGAAGCTTAGCGGGTGTGAGCCTGGTCAGTACTTAGTTGGGAGACCCTGCAGTCCATGTGGGTCCTAATGCCCCAGTAAAGTGACGGGGACACTATACGGTAAACAGGCGCTGTCCTTCGGATGAGACATAAAACCGAGGTCCTGACTCTCTGTGGTCATTAAAAATCCCAGGGCTTTTCTCAAAAAGAGTAGGGGTGTAACCCCGGCGTCCCATTGGCCCTTACCAATCATGGCCTCCTAATAATCCCCCTCTATGAAATGGCTACATTACTCTGCTCTTCTCCCCACTGATAGCTGATGTGTGGTGAGCGTACTGGCGCACTATGGCGGCTGTCGCATCATCCAGCTGGATGCTGCACATTGGTGGTGGTGGAGGGCAGTTCCCATTACCTGTAAAGCGCTTTGAGTGGAGTGTCCAGAAAAGTGCTACAAAAGTGTAAGCAATTATTATAGCTATGCTAATGCATCTGCTGAAGCAAAGGACTGGTGCCTTTCAACTAAATAATTCAGAGTCAATGACTGTTGTGGAGCAATAAGCACAGGTTGCCGATAAGGCAAATCGAATTCACAGTGACTCAGTTAACTCAATCACCTTGGAATAGGCTCTGAGTTCACAGAAGGATTTAAAACACTTAAGATCAGTCCAGGGAAACTGATCTTGGAATCTTATTAATCTAATAAAGCCAAGAACCAATTAAAAAAATAAAACAGAAACATTCTTTTTTTGGCTCACATGCAACATATTGCATTTGATGATTTCTGTCTACCCATTCAACTGTCTGACTGCATAAAGCAGGGGTATAGAATGCTGTATAAGGCCAATGGGCTGGATGTAGATTCAGTTCTCTCTTTGTCTGAACCTGAATAGTCCACAAATGAAGCAGGTGCCTTAGTCTTGTATAAACAGCACTCCCTGTCCTCTACTTCTATTCAATTGCAGAGGTCATGTTTCATGATGTCACAAGTCTAGTTTGACAGGAGCATGTTTTTGCCAGAAAACAGTGGGGGAAGAAAAAATGACACTGAAAGACCTGTGTGTACACTTCCTCCAATCTCCTCTGAATTTGTGGGCAAATACAGCTACGGAACCACCACTGGTCTCACTGAAATAATACATAGTGGGTTTTTTTATGTCTAAAGGATATTTTTGAATGCGATAAGGGCCTTGTAATCTATCTACAGAAGAAAAGTAAAAGAAAACTGATCAGTTCAAAGAAGGAATAATTTATCCATAGAAGCTAATGAAAATGCGGCATACTTGATTAAAGAAGCTGTTGTCAAAGAGCAATAACAATAGTTATATCATATAGCGATATCATGATTTCCCTTTAACCTTGTTTTTTTTTTCTATTTATTTCAATTTAAGAACACAACCTCTGATAAATACGAAACAAAACAAGCTGCTTCTCGCTTATCATAAGCACCATGTTATTATCAGTCCCTCAAGCGCAGTACTGATAATTTATCCTACATCCTTTATTTGTTTTACAGTCCCGGAGTTTACTGTTCATACTGTATGCACATAATGAAAATTACACTCACATTACTTTACCTGTAAAAGCTTATGACTCATTAAACGTCTAGGGTCAAACAATATAATTGTTACCTTAAGAGTTTCGAATTGTCAAAATAAGAAAATAATAATAAGTATGTTTATGACAATAAATATCCTATTTAACTTAGTACAATGCAAAGATCTTTTGAACGATTGTCTTTCTCAGTGCTATAATGTTTTACATCCAGGTGAAATGTTTCCCCTATTTTCTTTGCTTCTGCAATACTTGATGCACTGACAGCATGTTCTGCCAACACAATGTCTAAATAAGAATATTCAATGATAAAAATCACTAAACAAGATAAATCAGGGAACTGTTGCGAAGGGCAGTGCCTTCTTACCTTGTTGTCATGAACACAGCTGCATACAGTGAAAAAACAGGAAATAAAATGTTTCTTGTAGCAAAAAAATATAAATCAAACATTCATATTTTGAGGGATGGCTGCCTATAAGAGCAGATTTATTTTTAATAGTAATTGAATGAAATATCCTGACATTCTTTTGATTTACATACAATAATTACAATACAATTGATGAATAATCATGGTTAATTATGCTAAAAAACATACACATTTCAGTGGATATGTTTCACTAAACTGGTTTCAAGTGAAGACATAATGACTTCTTTACTGAACTTTAAAGGGACATGATGAATTGGAAAATAAGCACCAAAAATGCAAAAAGTACAAATAAGAGTATGTTTGTGCCTATTATTCTGATCACTTATGGTATGTATGGTCTGCTTTAAGTACATTTAAATCCAATCTACTCCACCATAGCAAATGAGTTTGTCATCCTTGGGTAAAGGCAAATTTAAAGTTAATTTAAAACAGTGGCAGCCTCTAGTGGTAAGAAACTGAGGCACTGCTGCTTAACTTTGATGAGAGACAATGATCACCTTTTCGTAAGGTGTAGTTTACCAGAAGTTAAATTTCAAACGTCACTCTTACACATGGAGGATTTTCACATCAAACGTTTCTATTTCACAGTGATCTACGAAATGAACAAATATCTTTTATAGCAAGGATCAGATACCTCGTCTGATGTATTGTCCAAAAATGTAACACCTTGTTAATACTTCCCTCAAGCAATATGTGCAACCAATGAATGTTGCATCAAAAGAAACTGTATCTACAGTCAATCTATACTTACTTTTATATTAATGTCTTCTGCTGGCACTTTGCCTCCACAGTACATTCTGAAATTTTGTTCATTATTTTGCCAGCAGCCATGTCACCCTGCAACTCACAACTGGTAACCCACTGAATCTAAGCAGATGTGAACCTGTTCAATACCTGGATAGGAGACCTCCTGGGAAAAAGTAAGGTTGCTGCTGGAAGAGGTGTTAAAGGGACCAGCAGGGGGCACTCACCCTGCAATCTGGGTGGATCCTAATACTCCAGTATAGTGATGGGGACACTATACTGTAATAAAGGCGCCGTCCTTCGGGTGAGACATAAAACCAAGGTCCTGACCATCTGTGGTCATTAACAATTCCATGTATTTCCTGAATAAAGAGCAGGGGTGTAACCCCAGCATCCCGGCCAAATTTTCCTTTGGCCTTTACCAGACTTGGCCTCCTAATACTCCCCTACAAATCATCACTCTGTTCTTCTCCCCACTGATAGCTGATGTGTGGTGGGCGTTCTGGCGCACTATGGCTGCTGTTGCATTGTCCAGGTGGGGGCTGCACATTGGTGGTGGTGGTGGGGAGTCCCCATTACCTGTAAAGCGCGTTGAGTGGAATGTCCAGAAAAGCGTTATATAAGTGTATGCAATAATTTTTTATTATTATTATTTGTGTGATAGTCTTTTACTGCCATCACCTCGGCATCTCATGTCCGGGTTTCCAGAATTTATAAAAAGCTGATCACAAGTAGGAGAAGGCTAGTTGGTTTAAAACAATGCAACTGTCTTTTTATTCTTAACATCTGAATGTTAAAGTAGCACCATTAGTTACATGTAAAGGTTTATTCTATGCTGTAAAGACAAGATACGAAACGTCTGTGGAGCCTTCTCCGGGTTTCGAGCCTTTTCATCTCTTTTCTGCATGGAATAAACCTTTACTTGGTGCTTTGCAGCCTACGCTTGCTGACGCAGCTACCTACTTTAACTCCATCAGTTACATGCCAAACAACAAAACAGCAGAACCTTGAGTGAAAAAGTGGCAACAATTCACTAATGAAATGGAATTTGTGGTAAATTCAGTCCACTGTGTTGTGAGAAATGAAGGAAAGGCACATATAGCAAACTGCTCTTTTTCATCACATTTCACTCTATTGTTCCTCTGCTATGTTATGTGATGAGATATGTAATATTTCAATTAAAAAACGTTAAGCTTTAGTAATACAAGGCAATTGCTAGAATTCTATTGCCCCAAAGTACAACGAAACACAGAATAAGAAGGAATGCTTTCTGTGCACACGCATTTTCACACTTTTTTTAAGCAAAAGCCTTATTCCCTAAGATATAAGACTCGGAAGGATCAAAACAGAATGGTAATATGGATGCTGGCAATATTACTTTAGCCACAAAGTACACTGAAAATGAGGAAGCAAGTTCCATAATTCTCCTTAAAGTTCATCTACTAGTATTGTATATGAATTTAACAGTTTTGCCTTCACATTTGAAACTCATTCTGCTGTTCATAACTCATGTTTAATATGTACCACAAAGCTAATGTGTCCATGCCAAAATTGAAACCAAAAGTGAAAATATTGGGTAGGAATGGTTTAATAGAAATTGTAACAAATACCTGCCAATAATGGGCTGTCATCTGAACGCTCCGTTTACCATCACATTTTACAAAACCAACGTATTTTCGAAAGAATAAATAAAACAAATACATTTAACAAAACACTACAAGCTGAAAATGAATACAAAAACTAAATAAAACTAATGCAGAGTTTTAATAAGCATTGGGTATAAATTTAACAACATGTAACACTAACAGTAACAGTAAGTTTTTCTGTGAGAAATTCTCATCATGCTGGTAAATACAAGTTAAATCAGAATAAACAAAAATAAAACTCACTCATATGAAAGTGATTTATAATTATGCACCTCATTCCATTTTACTTCTAAATACTGATTAGGAAAACAACAAGTACACAGAGAAGATGCCTATTCTGTTTGATAGAACAACTGAACAGACAAACAAACATACTTTGAGGCTGTTAGAGTTGATTATTTAACTATGAATCTATAGAAAAGCATATTTTGAGACAACAGTTTATTCAAGTGTGAACTGTAGCAATTATGACATGATCACTACACAGATTAATGTTTAGTAGAAGTAATGCCATTTACAGCTGAATAAGCTACAGTCAGTGTCAATAGATATGACAGTATTTCAGCTATTTCATGATCTGAACTGCATTAACCAGTCGTATGCCTTTTCCAATCTAGAAAGCCTAAGTGTTCTTTTCTGTCAACTTAAACTTTTAGAGGCAAGGCATGGACTATTAAATTCATTCACAATGTAATCTAATGTGAATTTCAGAAAGCAGGACAGAAAGTTTTAGAAGGTTAATGGATCAGACGTACAGTATTGACTGTAGGCCTGTACTACATGATCTACTCTGCTACATGGGAATATTTTTAATATATGACTCTGTAAAATCTTTAAATGTTCAATGAAGTATTTTTATAGTTAAAAAAATAATTTAGCAAGGAAAAGAGGATAGTAATGTATACAGCCTTGATAGGTCAAACATCAATATAACCATTATTAATCAAGAATAACAGTCTTCACAGATTACAGAGGGAAACAGATTTGTGACAAATCAAAGTTGATGAAGAGCATAAATGACCGGCTCACACCGACAGACAACATGAAAACCAATTCAAACCAATTCGCTATTTTGTTCTTTTACAGTATTTTATGCTGAATCCAGGTCCTCACAACAGTTAAAACAATCTTCCCTTGACTTTTTGGAGTGTAGCTTTGGCTGGAAAGATGTTCAAAAGCTGATCAGTTTGCATTTCAGAATATAACTGGTGAAAAGCCAACTCCCCTTGCTTCTATTCAGATGAATCTACTTCTAGTTAATCGCGTTTTGCGTTTTTAAAAATATTGCAAGCTAACAGTTATTTGCTTTTTAAATTAAAAAGACGGATATGGTGCATTAAACAAAATCCATAAAAAAAAGACAGTATTTTTGTTAGGTGCCAGCATATAATGGAACCCATAAGACTGAATACAGTGGTAGTAACTTTAAGACCAAGAGCCTGCTTTTGGGGAAAACGACTTCCTGATGCAAACCACAACAAAGCAGTGGAAACAGTAATTGTGTGGTCCCCTTTTTTAATTCATTAACTGTTAAAGGACTGTTCTGCACTTAATAAAACTTAAGCTTTTTCCAGAGTCTTGTAGTATTCCTTCAGTACCGCCCAGGCTTTGGCGACCATGAAACCCTCAGGGGGATTGTGTCCCTCACGAGCCATTTTACGCATCCGGGTTCCCGAGATGAAGTCAAAGTCCTCATGCCTGGAAAAAGAAGAACAAAGCAGAGGGTGTGCTGAGCTCTCCAGTAAAGGGCTCAAGGCTTTCACCGGGATAAACAACCACCTTGAAAGGAACAAGTTGTTCTTTTAAATGACAAAATGGAAAGGCCTCGTCTTTCAACACGATCGGGCATCTGACGGCAGATTTTTATTATGCTGCCGCCTGTCCTCCTCCCTTTTGTCATTAGTAAAAAAAAAAATGAATGTATTGTGTAGTGATTTCTTTCCCACCCCAGGCCAGCAATTAATAATGTCTTGGGCAGACCAGATCTAAACTGTTGGCTGTACTGCGAAATTATGAATAAAGTCTAACATTACACAGACATGCCCAGCTAATCTTTGCACCTCAAAATAAAGTCCAAAGCTAGAAACTTTGGTGGATGCAATAACAAAACTACCAATATAATGTATGCCTGATCAAAATCTTACTTTGGGTTGTCCAATCTTTCCGTACACATCCTTTTGCCATTAGCTATCTTATTACTCACCAAGTCACATATATCATTTTATTACCCGGCAAACAAAAAAACAGCTCAGAACTTTGTATGTCTCTGAATTCTGAAAGGGCTTTGTTGTTTCTGGGAGGAAATATTTGTTAAGTTTTGCAGGAATAAAGAAATACAAACTTTGTTAAATACAAACTGAAGTGCACAGGCATGCCTGTACTTCACAGGATTCTATGGCTCTGGGAGTGTTTTTATTGCATGCATACTTTCTGATTACTAATGAGTGTTAATATGTTTTACTTGGTGTAAACAGCTCTCTGCAAACCCCAAATCTGCAATGCAGATTTGGGTGACAGATGGCAAATGATTTCAGCTGTGCATGATGTACGAAACATTTCCTAATTCATTTCATCTGTCGTTCACCTCTCGTGTACTGAACACCCCAAGTTCAAGTGACCATAGATGAAAAGCAGGATGTTAACCACTTTATGTACAAGAGGTACTGTAAAAGAAAATTCTTAAGGAATTCAAAAAAATCTTTTTAGAAGTCAAATCTAATTGGCACTGTCAAATCCAGAATGAGCTCTGACTAATGGATGCAATTTCAGATGGCCCTGTATCAATCGAGCCAGTACCTACAGCAAAATGCTTTTGCTCTTTGTTCACTTAAGCGTGAAACACATAATAGTTAATATTCCAACATGAAGGATTTAAATCATATAATGAAAAGTTATTGGGAAAAACACTGTATCCTCGAAGAATGATACAGGTCAGTAGTCTGAAGAGAATCAATACCATATTGTTGTACAGAGAGGTCAGCTGAATTGCAGCAACAGACACCAAATACACAAATACAAAAATAAAACTGGTGAACCAGGCTACTACAGTACATTGCTCTCGTTCATTTTATTAAGGGGGAAACCAAAATGTAGAAACCATATTCCATAGAGAAAACTTAATATGTGGTCAAATCAGAAACAGCTTGCACTGATTTGTGCCATTACACTTCAACAAAGTCTTTTTGGAGGATTGCTGGCAATTAGTCTTAGCACACATATTCGTTTTAAATTTGGTACAGCCCAGCAATCTGCAGAAGAACAACTGAAAGCAGACGGGCTGCCATAAATTTTGGAAGGCGCCAACTGAAGTCTTTGAAATTCAATTTGCCTTTGCTCTTACCAACCTAAGTCTTCAAACTGGAAGAAAATATCTACATTTGTGAAAAGATTCAACTGTAGTGCCAGGTCCACTTCTAAGCATGCTGTCAAATACAAAGTTGTTTCTGAACATACACTTAGACAATCCAACCTTGTTAAAAGTGCCTTTACTGGGTGCACCTAAATTTTCATAAAAATGATTCATGTCTTCAGTGAGCAAGGAAGAACACAGCTCATGCAACATTCATTTACACTATGTATCTTTGGAGCAATACACATACTGTAATGGAAGACAAGTGCCCTTGCATATTGTGTAAGTTGCAATTGAAAGACATTAGCAACACAACAGGTCTTTGCCTAGGACATTTAGAAAATTTGCATGGTAACATTTCACTAAAACTGCTTGAAGAACTCTAAGAGGCAGAAGAAACAGAAGAAGAAAAGTACTCTAAGCAACCTTAGCATAAGCATGAGAATGTTTACAGCCTGAAACTACTTGATTTATTCATTTTCATGATTAGAGTTAGTGTTAAAGTAACACCTGTAGTTGCTGTGAAGTATTAAGATAAGATGTTATACACATTACCTACTGCTAGTCAGCTGTGAACTCCAAAGAGGGGAATGAAGGTTTAATGTCTAGTGTTAATGGGTAATATTTTTAAAAAGAAATAGAGGATTTTTAATCCATAATGTCAAATGTGAACACTCAAATGCTTAACTGACCTGAGCACTCATTTAAAAAAAATTAGAATAAATGACACTTTCCTTAAAATGTACTGCACAAAATACCTGTGTCCACTCTTTTCCTTTTTTGAGACAACCAAAAATCAGACAACTTAGTACAACTACAGGAAAAGAGATTCTGAAAAAAGTAAGAAAAAAGTCAACGAAATAAACAAAATCGCACAACAGCTGTATACTGTACGGGGTAAAATCATTTAAGAAAATCTCAACTGGCATTAAGGAGAAAACCTAAGGTCTTGCTTGAGTGGGTGTGGAAATTAAACTTAAATATACTAGACAGGGTCAGGAAGTTCATCCTACCCAGAACTTCATATTAATAGGATTTTATAGTCTGCCAACATTAGAGTTATACAGCTACTGAAGCACATCATTTATTACACAAAAAAAGCCGGGTGGTCCTGGAATCAGGCTTTTCAGAGACTGTCTTCTCTGTGTCACCATAATTCATGCCAAATTTGGCAATTTAACTCTTCGAATATATGATGGTGTTCTTCCTAATTAACGAAACATTGCAGGGCTGCATGATACTCATTAGTCAGAAAGTCTACGATGTCCTTACAAGTGTGTAATTAATAACAGTTTCGTTTTGATTTCTTCAAACATCAAAGCTGACAGAAAGCCACAGAACTTTACAAATGTATATAAAAAGAAACAGCACAGAAAACTTTCTGCTTATGTTGGGATATAGTTACACACAGCTAAAGAAAAATTAAAAAACACTGGGGTCTCTTGCTCTAAAAGTTCGGGCGCACTATAGAAACCGCCTAAACGTTTGCTGAATAAATTTCTTCCACTTGTGGTATCTGTGGTGTAATTTACCATCCTCTCTTCTGTGACACTGCTCTCATAATCCATTAGCAGTAGTCAGGGTGATGGAAAATCGAATGGCTTAAAGGACACGGGAGAAATAACTGGCTTAAACTTTGTAGGAGTTTCCATTCACCATTAAAAGCCTCTAAGTCAAACTCTTAACGGAATGATAACCAAAGAGAAATTCATGTTTACTTGAAATAGCTCAGTTAACATACAGAAAATGCAAGACATATAAAACGTACCTGGGACAATTAGGGGAGACTTGTAGAAAATAAAAGGGACATAGCTTATTGAGTACATAGGTATTTCACTCAGCAGATCACTAAGAAAGAAGTCAACAACATGCCTCAGGCCAGAGTTTATTAAATACAGCTAAAATAAAAAAGGAAGAAGTGTTTCAGGACATAGGAGGGACCAATGGTATCCTACCAAATGTACTTAAGGGAACAAATTATGTTATTTACGTCCCATTGATAACATTTTCAATAGTCACTCAACACAGGGGTGACTGGAGAAGTGCTAATATACTGCCTATCCATAAAAAGGAACTGAACCAAGTTATTATAAACCAATGAATCTAACTTTAATTACATGTAAGGCAAAGGAACAACCAGAACTAAATGAGTTCATCACCTACATGGAAGTACGATTGCAGCTGTTAGTAACAATGGATTTATAAATAGCAGGTCTTGCTTAATTTACCTAAGAGTCCTTTGAACAAGCAACAACAGTAATGGGCACACAGAGCACCGAGACTGTTTTATAGAGAACAGACTACATATAACGGGTGAATACTCAAATTGAGGTGTTGTAATTAGGGAGCTATACTAGGATCACTGCTCTTCCTAATTTACAGTAATGATCTAGCTTCTGATATACTTGGTATACTTGCAGAAAATACCTTAATAGGAATATAAACAGAGAAAAGGTAATCTTCTCTAGAAAATATGGAGAAACAATAAAAAAAGAAAAGAAAATGTTACCATATACTGTTAAAAGCACAGCATTGTAGTCTAGGGGTGTATCTTAAAATGGTATAATGCACTCGTTAAGTCTTCACTGAGAATACTGTGGACAAGTCTAATCCCCACATTATACACAGTATATTGCTGCTTTAAAATCGGTACAGAAAAGAGCAACCTTACACTTTCCAGGTCTTAAAGGAATATCCTACAAAACAGGCTGAAGGAACCAACCTTTTTATTCCTGAACAGATGTCCAAGTATTCAAAATCCTAAAAGGTACTGACAAAGTCAACCCAGTGGAATTAATCAGAATAAACTATATGAGACGAACCAGAACACACAAGCGGAAACTCTTTGAAAGTATATTTAAATCCAACTGGAAGAGTCTTTCGCAAAGGGTTATTAGAGTACGGAACAATCTATCCAACCATGTTGTTCAAGCTGATGCCAATGAATGACTGAATGAGATCCTCGGATCATTTAGCTATAAAGTAACAAACAGTGCAGGTGGTCAAACTGCATGACACCTTTCTTATGTTGTTAAGGTATAAAACTAATCTAATACGTCTTTGCTTTGTATGCCATTGGACTTTAGAATCAGTATGTAAATTGACTACTTTCAAACTGAATTAAGACTTACCATTGTTTTTAATAAAATCACATTACTGAAAGCCACTTTGTCTTTGGGTCTTTGAAATTAAGACATGAGGTGGTTGGCAGACAAGAGCCAAAGGGGGACACGACAAATGCTGGGAACTAATGGTCTTTCAAATAAGAAAATAATACAAATGATCAAAACTCCTGCAAATCTTACTTTAAAACCAAGTCAAAAAGTATTTGTATAACAAAAAAGCTACAAAGTAAAGGAGACCATTCAGTCCATCCAGCCCATTTGGTTTGGGAGTAAGCAAACTCCTAAAGTAATGGGCTATTACCTCATGGGGCATTTGTACTAAGGAACTGAAAAAGAGAAACACAATAATTGCGATCTGTTTTATCTTAAAGCACTTACTTTTTGGGGTCGTAGAAATCCATGCTCTTTTTGACTTTATTATAAGCAGCAACCTTGAAAGGTACGATTTCCAATGTGATGAGACCTGGGGCCATCGTCAGCACCTTCGCTCCATGTGTTGGCTCATACAGGTCCTTTCCAGTCTCGGGGTGGGGCATCCCGGCAGGGTCACGACCCACTATATAGAAGTTGGCCCCGGCAACCATACGGGCTCTGCAATGCCACTGCACCTGCAAAACATCAGGCCATCCCATCAGCAATACACACGGAGCCTCAAACAGGGAAAGACAGGATTGTGTGACTCCAGAGGCGCCAAGTGACTGACACCCTGCGGATCAAAGACATGTAAAGTGAGAAGTAACGCAAACTAGATATAAAAACTTTTATTGCCCACACAGCTGCCAAACAATGAAATACACTGAGGGTCAAATGAAACATCACTATGTATTAATGTACAGTGCCATGCAAAAGTATTCATCCCATTCTAAAAAAAATCTAATTTCGCTGAATTATAAAATGCTGCAAATGGGGGAATATGCCTTGCTTAGTCTTGGAATGCCATCATTATCTTAAAAAACAGAGGTGGAGCCATGCACCCTTTAGTTTAAAATATGGTTTTGTGTAGAGCATCCTGATGGATAAAAGTAAGTGCAGTACAATGAGCAAAACAAAGAATTATGTACAGAAGGCCAGCTGAGTTCTGGGGAGAGCCAACTCTGTTAATGTGTGCAGGAGTGTCTAGTAACTACAGAACACCTCTTGGAATGATTGATGGCAACCTGACAGCATGGTGCTTCATCAAGATGTTCTTCCACCGGGACAATGAATGTCCTCATGCTCCTCTTGTAACTGTGATGGATAAGCCATATGAGTGAATAACCTGAGTCCTTCTAAACATGTGTGAAAGCTTATTATGACATCTATGGCTCAGAGACCAGTGAACAGGCAGATACTTGTCCAACCTCTAAAAAAAGAAATAGGAAACAACCCCACAAGGCAGTTTCTGCATGTACAACAGATAGTTTATATTCATGCCAGTGGTGGCAATATACTCCAAGACTCTGACTTTCACAGTATACTCCATTTAACATCCCTTTTGACTACAAATGTTATTCAGAATAATGAATTAAAAGTCAGGGCACCTACTTTAAAAAGACTGCCGTTTCCTGATAATTTTGTGAATGTGTCACAACTGTGGAACACGTGTCCTTCAATGTTTAGTACAGATATACCTGAGAAATAAGGGTGAGGTGAGGTGCTGTTACAGTACATTATGTTCACTTATCACCACAATGTCCACAAAAAATGTTTGGTAAACAGGCAGTGACTAGTTTCACCGAACAACTGGATCAACTAAAAAAGCTGCCATCAATTTTACATGGTGCCATTTTTACAGCATTGCTGGCTGACAGAAAAAAAACTGTAAGGATGTTCCAGTTGACAAATAAAAATCTGAGAACACTTTAGGCCCTCTAAACTTCCTCTGCTAGGGCAGATCCTTTTCAAAAAAGGAGAAACCAATGTTTTTATTTATTAGTCTGCTTGGAAAGTTGGTTACGTTTTATGGCTGTAAGAACATAAGATTTGTGTGCAGTCTGGCTCCATAGTTCCTTTTTAATGAGAAGACTTCCTTCGTGTACAAAACAGAGGGATGTTTTTCCATGAATTGCTGTATGGTGCCACAAACAAACAAGATCACAGAAACCTTACGACTATAGCTTTTGGAAAACAAAAGTTTTACCCTTCCTGAAAATCAAAAGAAAAAATTAACCCTTAATGACGAGGTGCCATTTGTGTACACACATCCTACAAAGTACAGTAACATTATCTTGCCTGCATGCATGTTTTTTTACACAGTAAATGCAAACATTTTCATTTTTGTTGATTCACCATGAAAATCCTCATTAGTATTTTGTCTGTACAATCTGGGATTTCTTATGAAGCTTTTCTATAAACCTATATATTATTCTAGAAATAAAGTTTGTGAAATTAGTACAAAATAAATCAGTAACAAGATTTCTACAATTACAGTTTCTCAAAATTATATTAGTCATATTCAGCTTTTTAAACTTTAAATATAGAAAATGTACATCTGCCATTTTCTTTGTTAAATTAACTTCTAATTACAGTTCATCAAGGATACAAATTAATTGTAAAGGTACACAGACAGAATATGTACAGACAGTACAATAGACAGAAAAGGCAATGATCCTTAAATTTGAACACATAATAAAATGTCTCCTTCTGGTACAGAACTGTTTCAAGTATGGAGGCAATACTTTCAATTGGGATTATGACAAATACACTGCTCCCACTTTATACGTTTTAATATAATTGTATATAATATAATTTAATATATTGGACCTGTGCAATACATTTATATCTATATTTACATCTATATCTATATTATATGTGTGATACGATTTTTCTGTGTACTGTTCTGTTCTAGTTTGTTCTTTCTGTGTCCGGACTGTGAGTAACTCTTGTATTGTATTGTATGTATTGTACTATTATTATATAATTCGTTACACTGTGGCTGTGTTGTCTGTGTTAAGCTGCTGTTGCACTGCAATTTCCCTCACAGGATCAATAAAGTGTCTATCTATCTAATGGTAATAATACAATAGCAATACAGGACCTACAGCTGAGGTCACTGTTCATTACACTGGTCACTGTTCTTTTGCATGTGAAATGATATTAAATAATTAATAATGCCATTTCATAAGCACAGAAAACTTTAAGAAGTTAAAGAGTTAACTTATTTGTCAGTAGTATTCTGGGGATCCATAGCAGGTATTTGTATCTTAATCAAAACATATAAAAGATCTGAAGACATTCCAACATCAAGCGGTAGCAGTGCAATAAACATGATGAATTTGAAATACAAACATTATTTTAAAGTCAAAAGCAGCAGTACAATACTGCTAAGCCAACCTAGGAATTCTGTATTAGCTCTCTTTTAGAAAACAGCTGCACAGCAAGATCAGCTAAAAAATGCAAATCCATAAACAATATATAGTAATATTTCTTTTATTTTTAAAGTTTCTTTTGTAAATAATTATTTTTTTTCTTCCATATTTTGTTACCTGTAGTGTATGTTTACTGATTATCCATGGATTCAGACTGCTTGAAGCCAAGATTTGTACCACAAGTTATTAAAAACCTGGAGGACACAATAACATTCCCTTTTTTCTTTATTAGTCTGGCACTGAGTCTAACTTGAAAATGTAAGCTTAGTTTTCCCTGCAGGGAATCAATAATGAACCATACAATGGAAACCATTAAGAGATTATTGAGGGAATAATGAATGATCTTACAAATACTGTACTGGTCTGATTTATTTGAAGCAGTCATTCTTAGCCCTGGAGGTTAAACACTACAGAACATTGGTTCCTAAACTGGATGATGGGGTTGATTGGCAGACAAGGTAATATCGTTATTGATGGTTGGCTTCAAAGTTATTCAGTGAAGTTCCTTTTCTAGTGAATAAAGAGGTACTGACACACAGTTTCAGCTGTTCCTTAGCAGATGGGCCTTCTATCTTCAGATGCACAGACTGTCTTCACTTCCTGCTTATAATCATAGCAGCTAATGGCTTGTTTTTCTGTAAAGCATTTGTCCAACAGAAACAAATCTGGTACCAATGATTTCCAAATGACCTCTAGTTAATGATTAAAGGACAATTGTGTTTTTACTTTAAACCGGCTGCAATTCTTTATTGGCAATCACCATGGCTTATGTCATTGGAAATGTTAAAGTGGAAAAAAAAATCAAAGACATGATCTGTTGGTTTTTCATTTTTTGTTGCTGTTGTTTTTTTGGGAGGATACAGATGAAAACATTTCCCATGCTGCATGTAGTGGTTTTATTTAAGAGGTTTCCAACAATGACAGAAAACTACAACCATACACGTGCAAATATTCTCCTGTTGTGGTATTTTCACTGCACTTGCCTGTTTACTGAAAAAAGGCTGGCAGAAGCCGCCAAACATCCCCCATGTTTCCTGCACCATACTCCAAAGATATTTGTATTTAAAAGTCCTTATCTTAAATGTTTTATTGCTATGGTAACTGGAAAGAAAACAATTTTTACACAACAGCATTCAGAACCAACTGTGTTTTTCAGTTTGTGCGTAGATACAATAAGAAATATTATTCAATATTAACAATGTGAACATTCTTCTGCATCTCATTTTTTAGAAATTTGAAATTGACGTTGAAATTGGAGAACTGAAAAAGAAAATATGTTAAGCTAAACCCATTCATAAAGGTTACATGTCTACAATATGTAAAGGAAGCCGTCTGGTGTTGATTACACATCCTTAGCAGGCAATGCTTACCTCTGTTGGACCAGCATACATCATGGGAGACGGGAAAATAGCCACAATAGTAGAGTCGGGATTCAGCACACCTTCCTCTAGCACGGCTGCATGCTGCTTCATTCTCCAGGCCAGAGGAACATCGTCATCTTTGGTCCAGCCACCCAGGGGATGAAGCAGAAGGACAGGTCTTCCGTAACCACGCTCAATCAGGCGCTTGTGGGTGTCTTGCATGAGCAAAGCATGGCCGTTGTGCACAGGATTACGCAGCTGGAATGCAAATACTGCATCTAGGGAGATATAAAAGACTCATCTGAGAAGAAAGGGGCAGGCAGAGCAGTGATTGTCTAGTGCGGAGGCTCAAAAAAGTCTTATGCAAGTCTTATGTATTTCGGAAATAAAGGTGAAAAGTCTTATTACAAACAGATAATCTAAAGACATTCACATCACCTGACAATCCTGTGCATATATGTACATTGCTACTGCCTATTGTAGACACCAGAACCATGCATTTTGTGTTTGTTGAGCTTTAATATCACCTTTCACACCCAAGCTCAGAGCAACATTGATGCTTACAATTGCTTAGTTTTATATCTCTCAAACTTCTGAATCCTAGTAAAATAGAAAACTACTAGTCAACTAATGCAATGCTATTAGAATTCAGTTCTACATTTGTCAATTGCATTAACTGTGATACAGGTTCACATTACGTGCTTTTTGTTCATGTGAACAATACACTCATCTTCACAAATGTCAACAATTAACCTGTTTAAAATGTTTGTGGAAAAACTAAAGAAGGGCTTCTGAAAGGAATACATGTGCTGTACCAGCATTCATCTCTTTGAATTTCTGCTTTAACTCAGCAGGGGTAAGTCGATACTGATCCAGCCCATCATTCCAGTAGATGCGATCCAGAACCTGAAGATCACCACCAACCAGCCAGTCTCCACTCTCCATCACCATCTGGAATAGACAAACACAACCAGATGACTCTCAGTACTTTTTCAAGCTCTTACACAATGTGTGATAAAACAGTTATGACTGAGGCAATAAGACATCAGATGGCTTCTACCCCTTACTGTGTAGCTGAATGTAAAACTGCATAAGATACAATAGAGCAGTTTCCAGAAAAAAATGCTTTTATCACTTTAGAGGTCTTTAGTCTTGAAGGAGACCTGTTTTATGTGGATTTGTTTTTATTAAAAGACAGACCTTGCATGCTAGAGGTGAATAATGCAATGCACAGCTGTTCAATAACCACCCCCCAATTACCATTTGCCAATTTATCAGTTAATGTGGAAACCAACAACAGTTGGTAAACAAATTTCAATTAAGTATTCAAGGATACTAGCTGATAGTTATCAATCAGATGTACCGTATAAATGTATAATGCCAAGTATTCTATAAATGATTGTGTTATTTACAACATGTTTTTATTTTCACCAGTCTTGGGCCAATCTTTATTACCACATTAGGGGCTATGTAATCAAAAACTCATATATGAGTTTAAAATGAGTAGCTGCAACAGCTGCAAAGGAACAAATAATGATTAATTCCACACAAGAGGAAGATTACAAAGAGATCTGACAGGTATTCAGAATCCTCAAGGGCACTGACAAAGTCAATCCAGGATTTATTCAGTTGTGGCAGTGTGGACCAAACTACTCCGCTATGCTGTTCATACTCTGGCTTTCTTAAATAAACAGCTTGATGAAATCATTGGATCAATTACCAAATGGGCTAGATGGGCAGAACTGATGTCTCATTTTTAACTTTTCTTATGTTAAAGAAAAGTGCAGAAATCAAGGCAAAGGGATGGTGAAAGAAGAGCCCTCTTTTCACCTCCTCCTGCCCCTTTCTCTGCATCAAAAGACTATAAACCTCTGCTTGTCCCCAAACACATATATGAAACACATAATTACTGATAAAGCACAAAGTAATCCTACAATTGTCAGCAAATTCAATTAATAAAAAGACTGCCAAAGTATAAGTAATAGAGCTTATTGGACTAATACACTATTTACAAATTTTTATTCCTGGTCAATACAACATTACTGGGACACTGATGCCTTTATCAGGAGGAATACAAATAAGTTTTCTGGTGCAGTTATAATGAAAGACTGAAAGAACTACAGCTTTAGTCTGGTCTGTCATCCACTGTAAGACGACTTGATTGAGGTCTTTAAAATCTCAAAAGTATAAAGTATGCTGACATCCAGTTATTTGAAATTTATATTAATCAGAAATCATAAAGAGAAATTAACCAAGAGAGATAATTAATTCAGATCTAATGGATCAACAGGCTTCGCTTTAATGACCAAGGTGCATTACTATTAAAACGTAAAAATGAGTTTGAATGGTATGGTATTAATTGTGTTTTTGATTATTCAGAAATCCAACTTGTCCAGTACTGGCAATGGATCAGACACAAATTTGATTAATAGTCGTATGTTATGAAGTATCAAGATAAACAGTCTGCAAAGATTTGGAACAGATTAAAAAGGAAATTGATTGTATCTTTGGTCTTTGAATCACCCAGAATAGCATTTAAGAGGTCTACATATGTAGAAGATTTAAGTGCATGACTTCCAAATTTACAAATTCATGTGGCATAACGTTCAGGTATCAGACTTTCTTTAATTTTTCTGACACCACAGTTTTAATGCCACCCACTGCACCGGAGGACCGGTAACAGGGAAAATCAGATTACTACATAATACATAACAGGCTCTAGACTCTAGATTACATGCTATAAAGGAGACTCTCTCCGTTTTGGCAAATTCTGCTTACTGGACTAAAACCAATCCTTCCCCAAAAACAATCGCTCATTTGATCGAGCTGCATTTCTACCTTAATAAAAGCAGAAAAAGATGAGAACAGTAAAAAAAAAAAAACAGGGAAATTTGACCACTTCACAAGATTGTGAGCATTACACATGAAAAAAGATGCACCAATTCAAAGTGAAGTGTTAACAGTCCCAGTTGACCACTGTCTACTAGTAGTACACTGTACTGAGTCCCTTTATTTAACTAGGTAAGTCAATTGATAATAAATTCTCAGACGACAGCAAGGTATTTGGAAAGAAGCACCTTGCTCAACGGTACAACAGCAGTGACCAACCTGGGATTTGAACGAAACAGCCTTCGCTCCAGTGCCCATAGACTATTTTATGTTACTTATGCCAGTGCTTTGATGGCATTCTTCATAGCTTTAAATCCGTTTCAGTTTTTTTAACAAAACAATTCAACAGTTTCAAATAGCATTTTCTGCTCAGCTGCACACAATGTCAATTTTTCTACTGAACGCATTTTGATAAATCACTAATGTTGGGGGAATCTAAAACAACTTATCAAACTGAGCCATTTGTGCAGTTAACATCTCAATGGAAAAAATGCCAAATGCTATCTGGAGGCCAGATGTGACTGACACTTACATCAATGTGACTCTCGGCCTGTGCAGCAGAGAAACTACGCATTGCTTTGAATTCTCAATTAGCTAAAGTAGGTCACATCCACCTTGTTTCGGTTTATGCGGGTTCACTTGATGGAATCAAAGAGCATCTGACCAGACAAGAGGCATGGAAAGATATTCCCTGATCTTCCTTGATTATGCACAGTTAACACATATGATGACCTGGACTCATCACCTAAAAATTCTGTTCTTCCTACCTGCTGGAATTTACTAGATATGAAACTGTTGTATGGCTGATCCCTGTGTATGAGGCTAGCACTTCTTCCCCAGCTGTAAAAAATGAAAATAAGATGCAACTGTCAATCTTGAATCTTGTTGTTAAAGCCAATACCTTGGCTTCTTTTAAGAAACTTCTGGAACAGATTTTCGGATCAATTCGTTGCTAAATATAACTGAAACCAAATTAGCAAGATGGTTTAAATGGTCTTTCTAATGTTCTTACAAAACTAATTACCTAAGCACTAAAATATACTTAAAGGGATGGATGAATGCATCTGCTGTCACCTAACTTAAGTTTTTAAAAACCCCCGCCATACACCATAAGTTAGTCAGCTTACTTATTACTTGTTACTTTTTTCAGTAGGTCAAAACCAGCTTGGGCAGATTTCCAAGAGTCCGTTGAATCTGACGTTCATCAACTTGCCAACATTCTTGAGAAGTTAAAAATGGAAAGTCATAAGGAAAGTCATTTAAGAGACAAAAGATAGATAATACTCTACATCTCTGTGAAGGACTGCCTAAACATTTATTTGTTGTGGCTACAATAAATGAGCCCATCTGACATCAGAAAAAAAATTATAAGCTTTTATATGAAGAAATACAGGTATCAATTCAGTTATATAATCAGTTTTTCTGCTGTTAATATGTCCTATAGCAAATTACTATTACACTTGTAAGCCTTTCCAAAACTGTATAAAGAATGGAATACATTTAATTGTTTAAGGGTAAAGTATAATTCAATACACAATTCCAAAACACCATTCTGTAATTAAATATTTTTCTCACTCGTAATGTGCTGTCAAAGGACAATCTGAAGCCATTTACGTCATGACTCCCTTTATATCCCCATTCATGCCAGCACGACAGTCATGTCAACAAATGGATTGAACCGTGTTTAAAATCTGGACTCAAGACGAATCCATAGAACTCAGATCCTATTGCGTATCTAATGTTTCTGGCATTGAGTCTTGGGACAATTACATTAAAACTAATCTAACAGTGACTTGAGTAATTCAGTGTAATGAAAACGCTCCGCCTGTATCCGATAGCAAAAAACAGGAGAGAGAAAGTGAGGATTTTTATTGGGGGTGGGGGAGGTTACTGGATTGAAAACTGATAGAGCAGCAAAAGCTCAGCCAAAAAGGTAATGAGCGCCAAAGGTTCTATTTTGGGGTGGGCACCTTAATAAAAAACATCTGTGAAATAAGGAGGGCCGCGATAAAGAGATTATAATTTCTCTGTAAAGATAAAAATGAGGCTTTCGTCCAGCTGGTGCCCATAAGCGGTTCAAACCTTCTTCAAATCAATACAGGGAAAGCACAATTTATCAGGCAGACTTTTAAAGAGTTTCAGCTGTAACCTTGATATATGGGTGCTCCTTGCAGGTCGTTCCCCACTGTCTGGCACAACGCTCCTCTTTCCTGTGCTCGAAGAACTCCGGGTTTCGGAGAATGGCCACCCTGCGGCCTCCGTAGACCAGCGCAAAGGCGGTGCAGCCGTCCAGCCTCTCTTTGTCCTCGGTCAGCACCGGCAGCACTATCGGCACCGACAGGTTAATCACGCCACCTGCGGAGCAAAAAAAAAAAAAGGCAGGGCTCAAACTTCGGGTCAAACAAGGCATCATCAATTTTACACAAGATTACACAGTCTCTGAATGGGCCCTGAGCAGACGTGGATCAGATGTTGCCTGACATTCTCTGTGTCACCAAGTCTTGCTTTCAGAAGAACAGTGCTCACCGATGCTGTAACTTCTAAAAGAAATCACAGGTTTTTAACAAGAAAAAAAAAAGAATCACCTTTAAGCTAAATGTGCATATCACAGAAGACAATTAAATGTAATGAAGAAACAAAATGGAGATTAATGGGCTAACTCAGAATACAATACACATCCACATTTTGAAAAAAACATTTTCAGTGGATTGCAAAAGTATTTTTTTCATTTAGAGTCCCACTGTAGCAAGTTTTATTCCTTTCAGAAGGAACCGGAAGGCTATCAAAAAAAGTGGAACTTGGGATTTGTGCAAAACAGATGCCCATGTTAGGCAGGTTACAAGTCATGCAGCTGTAAACATTAGATAAGATCAGACCACTTTATTGGCCATATACAATTTCTTGTATTAGGAATCTGTCTTTTTTCGCATACCCCAACTTGCCCTCCATGAGACACAGACAGGTAGAGAAGCTTGGGGTAAGAGCACAGGGATAGCCATTTATTTGGCACCCCTGGAGCAGTTTCAGGGCCTTCATCAGGGGCCCAACAGAGTACGATTCCTCTGCTGGCCGCAGGATACAAACCGGCAACCTTCCAGCCACAGGCGCAGATCCTTAGCCACAGAGCCACTGCACTGCCACATTAAATAATTAAGAGAAATAACTGACTTTTAAGAACTTTTTCATTCGGTGAAACTTGTTCATTCAGTTTGTTCGTTATTGTAGTCCTCTTCAATACAATAACAGGTGAATGGAAAAAAATCTGAAATGTAAATATGTTCAGGCAATACTAGTGCAAAATGTTTCTCATTCAATACGAAAAAGGGTAATTGTTATTCAAATGTAATTGGCATTTAAGGCCTCTTTCATTGAAAGCAGGTTATCTGACCAAAGGAAAGGGAAACAATTGTTAACAGTTCCCAGAAGGGAAGATTTGGGCAATGTACCAAGGACAAACATGTTTGTGAAATGCCATTAATGTTGGATGGAGGCAATATTTTTGACTTCCAAGAGCAATGTTCTTATTTCTTGTCTCTGTAAGATAACGTTTTGCTAGTTAAATCATTACATATCACTCAAACATAATACTGCAGAATACGTCTGGAGCTTACTCATTACTCATTTTGAGTCAGCAATAAAAAAATATTACTTTGTCAACAGGACGTCCTCTGTAGTTTCTAAAACACTGTGTTGCGTTTTGATTAAAATTCTGAGTTTAAAGTACTAGGCCTGCTGCCAGAATTCCAGTCCTGAAGATCATAAGCGGGCCATGGCAAATTAAGGGTAATTTCACAACTGCTTCTCACAGAAGTGGATAAAGGAAAAACAGACATCACACCACACAATCGCTGTTTTTACAGTTTCCAGTTCAATCCTTTTATTTTTTCTGAAGATACCTTTTCTTCATCATATTCAACTTCTACAAATGCATAGCACTCCCTTCAGTGTGTGTTCAGTGCAGGAACATTTAGAAGAAAGAAGCATCCATCTGTGTATAATTGTATTTCTGTGTTAATCTGAAGAACACTTAATGATACTTAGTCATGAAGATGTGCCATATTCTTGATCATATGCAAATATACTATTAAAGACTCCTCTATCAAATTCGTCTGCTGGCATGACCCTGACCATTCTAATATCTGTATTGTTTAGCCTTACTAATACATTAGCATCTAATTCTGAAGCTCAAAGATTGTTCTCAAAATTCCCCAAAGGAATGAGCAAACATCACTCCTAACCATTGTGCAAAGTTGGTAGACACCTACCCCAAAAGACTAAAAGCTGTTACTGCGGAAAAAGGTGGCTTTACCAAATATTATTAATGTGTGGGGTCTGAATATTTATGCAAATATATTTTGACTTTCTTTTAGATATTTACTGACAAATAACTAATTTTGTCTTTAGTAATATTCTGTTTGAGCATGCGAGCTTGCAATAAAAAATACTGATTGGAAAAAGATGTTTAAGTGTCACTTGTAATCCAGCAACATTTGAAAACTTTTTAAGGGTCTCAATACTTCTGAAAAGTACCGTATTCTGTATCAGGTTTAAATAACGGGCAGGTTTGCTTGACTGCTTCTAAAACTGCACTGCAGAATCAGTGCTCTCAGTCACAATATAGGAATAGTTTTATTTAGATGTTTTTTTCAAAGCCACCTTTACGTTTTCAGGACTGACATTATTTTGGCATATTCAATTTGGCATTACACCTTGATTAAAACAACATGGCCATGGATTTTACATCCAATTGAAATGTTATGCTCCTGATGGGATTCCTATCTTCTATCACCAAAGTATTGCAGACAGCTGTTTTTCATAAGATGAAAAACTTGAAGAAACCTTTGTGCACCCCAAGCTGCCTGCCAAACCCAAATGAAAAAAGAAAATTTTACATGCAACAATGTTTGGATTCATACACACCCACTTTCTTATAACCAGAAAAAATCTCTATGACTACTTTTGTCTTTCAAGGACAAAACAAAGGGCTGAACAAAGAGGTTCTGACAAGGATTTAATATTTGGTCTATAAAACAAGTTCAAGTTTTATTTAATAAATAAATAAAATTGGAGTATCTGCCATTAAGCAAGAATAATTTCTATTATAATGTGTAAAAACCCTGCCACAGTAAAGTGCTGTCCTACTTTATTTTTATTTATTAAAATGTACCGATTTAACACTTAAATGTTAAATTTAAATAAGACAACCAGTCACCAAATCAAAAGTCAAGAGATGGATTATACCCATGCAGTATATCATAAACTGGAAACAAACTATTCAGTACCTTATATGTGAGGAGGAGATAATTTACATCCATTCAGGATTTCACCAGGAACAAGTGCAATTTAAAGAGTATTTAAGTGATATGCTGATATACTTTTTTTTGTATACAGGATACTGAATTCCAGAAAGAATAAAGTCTGTTTAGTACCTTAGAAGATACCCTGGTAGGTTAAGGCATTACAGCAGACTAGCCTTGATTAAATAATGATATGCTTCACGTTTTCCATCAACAGACAGGCAGAGTAATCGTCTTATCAATGCAAAGTTAAGCTTTAGGAAGAAAGGTACCCCTGTGATATTCCTAACACACACTTGAAATAAAAGTACACGAAAGTATAACTAACCCAAACTCACAGAAGTTTCCAACTTCTGCCAAAAGAGCATTCAAAGATTTGTGAAGTCAAAATTTGTGAGCCTATGAGAATAACCTTAATAGCGTAATATAAGACAGACTTTACTTATATATGAAGCTTCAGCATCCAATTTGGTCTTAAAACAGTTCTGAATTTCACCACCCTAGAAATGAAACCCAAATCCATGATGGCGAATAATCTGACCAAGAGGTAACATGCAATATCTGAAATGTAAAAGTTATAGTATAGAATTACGTAAAATAATTTTAACCAAACAAGTAATAAAGTAATTATTCATTTGTCTTTTGCCATATGCAAATGTCAGGCAATAAGTCATTAAGCTGCAAAGTATCTTAATAAATGTTTTGAGCCTTCTCTACTGGAACAACTGAACAGTGAGGACCTCAGTCTCCTGTGGTACAGCTTCTTTTCCATTTAATATCTGCTGAGCCAAACTGAACCAAACCGTGAAGATGTCTGAATTTAGTATGTGGATCAGGTAATAGATTTTTTTGGATATATGCTTACAAAAAAAAACAGTTAACGCTTGCAGTGATTTGGCTGACAGAAAAAAAATTAAAAACTGACTCCAGTTTCCCATGAGCTTACATTATGCTGGCATAATGTAAATATTGTATTACCAATGACTGATTTATGGTAAAAATTCTGCCAATTCTTTAAAACATACTGGAAGCAAGACAACTTTATGGTGAAAAAAAATGTGGAAACTGAAACTGATTTTAATTATAATTTCATGTTTTGTGAAAGCACTTTTGCCACAGAAAGGCAATTACCCGTGTATACACTTAATAATAATAATAGTGTCTTGCAATCCTTTCAAAGTATTCTTAATTTAAAATACTGAATATATTTTAAGATGTATTTCTTGAGCACTTACGTGAACATTACAGTGTTGTAAACTTATGAGAAACTTTTCAGAAATAAAAGTCCTTAATCAAAATTAGTCTAAGCACAGCAGATATCAGAAATGGTTCAAATAACCTCAAATGCTCTTCAATTTTCACAGAATAATCGGTCAAAAAATGTTCGCAAACACACAAAAACTTGTGAACATTAATTATCCTTTTCGTTTAAATAATTAGACTGCATTTTGTATTATCTTTAAAGCAAAAAACTATTTTTGTTTTTCATCATTCATTTTAAGTTGTCCGCAAAGTACAAATGTATATTGATTTTTACACAGCATTTAAAGCTTTAAATCCAGATATAGCACCAACGTACAATAGTTTTTGCCTCAGATATAGGTGGTTTTAACAGCTGTCCCATTAGCAATATTTGGATAAATGACTGTTGGATTTTCTTTTAGGTTATCCATTTTAGCTGAGACATCTGTCAGATTCTGAAAACTAATCTTCCAGAACCGTTTTAGAACTGACAGATTTTGAATGAACGGTAGCCATACTTCTTGTTCCAAGTGCGAAATTATTATAAATATAATTATACAATTATGCCTTTGATATTTAATAGCTCATGTCCCCAAAAATGTGTACAATTTTAACATGGCTAGCGTTGGTAAAACTCATACATCACTGCACATGGGATATAATAATTCAAATCATAAATTATATATTTGTTTTAACAAACATCAGCCTGCCCCTAAATATTAGTTTACTTCTTTCATTGCATGTTGTTACACTTTCCATAAGAATTATTTGTTTAGTACCAGTATTGTGCCATCTCTCCTCCAGAACACTGTATTAAAGTCTCAGTCTCTGGCTCCCTCTATTGCCCATGCTCAGACTACCACTGCACCAATTTTTTTATCCAATGTATTTGTTGCCCACACTCCACATTAATCCTTCACAGCAGCCAAGTGAGAGATAGGTTACCCTTCAAATCACATTTTCCAGCCCCTTTAATTGACATCCCATTTTGTGAAATTACAAAAAGCATAAACACACTTTTCATACAGATGTTTAATCAAAATGTCAGTGCTTAAACTTACAGATGAAAGAAATTAAAGGTCAGAAAAAAACTGCAAGAAAAATCAATAACTAAAATAATGACTGCAGAGGTGTTTACCCCGTTTGCTACAGCAAACCTACATTTATCTCTGAAGCACAAAATTACACTGATAAGTCAAAAGAGGGAATGGTTATGATTTTTCTTAGAATTTTTGTTGATTTTTCCCTATACCCTTCTCCTTATATAAATATTTTAAAAACCTTATCAAATCATCACACAGATGGATGCACTTATTCTGAAATCATGAGGACCACGTTTATTGCACGCACAAGGAGGACATTAAATGTGACTCGTCAGTACAAATTTAGGTTTAACATGGCAAAAGGGGTGAAAACTTATCTGATCAACATTTCAGTTTTTCAATTTGGCAACAAAATGGGACTTCAAAGAAAAAGGGTGAATACTTTTGCAAAGCACTGCATATAGTTTGAAATTAGTTAGACTGTGAAAGTACACAGTACAGCCTACTAAAAAACAATTATATTCATAATTCTACATCTGTTCTTTATCTTTTCCCATTTACAACCATTTTTTGTGCAATATATGCCAGGGACCCGTGCAATACATTTATATTTATATCTATATTTACATCTATATTTATAATCATATGTGCAATATGATTTTTCTGCGTACTGTTCTGTTCTAGTTTGTTCTTTGTGTGTTTTGGACTGTGAGTAAGTCTTTTAGTGCACCCCTCACTGTACTGATTGTATTGCAGTATTATTATTTTTGTATCATTCGTTACACTGTGGCTGTGTGGTCTGTGTTAAGCTTCTGTTGCACTGCAATTTCCCTCACGGGATCAATAAAATATCTATCTGTACATACACGGTTCTGTACAAACAAAAAAAGGTCTAATAAAAAGGTATGGAAAAAGAAGTATAACATGATGGATAGTGCTCTGGACTCATAACTTTGGCCTTTAATGTTGATTACTCCAAAAAACAAAATCTGTATAAATCGGCACAAATAAGTCAACTGACACAAACTATTAATAGTTTATCTTTCCTTTGTAATTTAATCAATATATATGCATTTCCTGAAACATTGTTCAACAACACAAAACTTCCCAAATCATAGAATTAATCCAAAACTATCATTAGCACCTCAACATAAAATAACCCTTTCTTTAAATTTGATATTCAGCATATCCACAACACTGTCTTAACACAATAATAGATCAGCGATTACTCCTGTGTTGACAGCCATATCTCAAGAGACAAACTGAATAAGGGTTAAAACTGGTATTAGTTTTAACCAGACAACATTTCCTCATCATTTTATAATAGTCATTTGATAAAATATTGGAGTCTAGGTTTGACAAGATTTATGTTTAGGTTTTAAATGGTCATTTGGAAAATCAAGTATTTTGATACACATATGTCATTCTATGTTTACGTAGGGGTCATATACTTTATTTTGGAAGGAAGTTTATTCTGCTGGGCCTTTGAAACCCAAACCAAAACAAAGCTGTGGGATGGTTTATCTCACAGACTGAATT